TCATGGGGTAGGTAATGTGATTCACACAGGGCAATTTAGAGGGAGGAAAAACAACTAGAAATTTGCCCTTTAGCCTTAAATGCTCCTCCCTTTGAAGACTTCATCTAGTTCCCTTCTAGTTCCCTTCTGTCTCTCCTCTCATCTAGAAATTTTCATTGTTCATAGAATAACAAAGACCTAGAACTGACCCAAATGTCCATTGACAGGAGAATGGATGAACAGGTTGTGTTATATTTGTAAATGTATATTACACAGCAGTGAAAACAGATGAACAACTCTTTGGAATTTGCTTGGGTTATAAAGCAAACACCAGGAAAATGCAACTAACATGAGCCCATTTGTATCAAGAAACTAGCAAAGAATATATTGTTTTGGAATACACTTAACTAATGAAACTATTTGAAGTAGTAAAAATGGGACTATAAACACACAGTTCAGGAGAGCTGCTATTTTTTGGGACAGAGCAGGATGGGGAGGAACCAGAGATCAAATTGCCAGCATCTGTTGGATCATAGAAAAAGCAAGAGAATTCAGAAAAAACATCTACTTCTGCAAAATTGACTATGCTAAAGCTTTTGACTGTGTGGATCACAACAAACTGGAAAATAAAGAGATGGGAATACCAGACCATCTTACCTGTCTCCTGAGAAACCTGTATGCAGGTCAAGAAGAAACAGTTAGAACCGGATGTGGAACAACAGACTTGTTCAAAATTGGTAAAAGAGTATGACAAGGCTGTATATTGTCACGCCGCTTATTTAGCTTCTATGTAGAGTACATCATGCGAAATGCCAGGCTGGATGACTCACAAGCTGGAATCAAGAATGCCTGGAGAAATAACAACCTCAGATATGCAGGTGCCACACTCTAATGACAGAAAGCGAAGAGGCACCAAAGAGTCTCTTGATGAGCGTGAAAGAGGAGAATGAAAATGACTTACAACTCACCATTCAGAAAGCTAAGATCATGGCATCCGGTCCCATCACTTCATGGCAAATAGATGGGGAAATAGTGAAAACAGCGGTAGATTCTATCTTCTCTGGCTCTAAACTCACTGTGGATGGTGACTGTGGCCACACAATTAAAAGACACTTGCTCCTTGGAGGAAAAACTGTGAGAAACCTAGACAGCATATTAAAAAGCAGAGACATCACTTTTCCAGTGATGTCAGTAGTTTTGCCAGTAGTCATATATGCATGTGAGAATTGGTCCATAAAGATGGCTGAGCAACAAAGAATTGATGCTTTCAAATTGTGATGCTGTAGGAGACTCTTAGGAGTCCCTTGGACAGCAAGGAGATCAAACCAGTCCATCCTGAAGGAAATGAACCCTGAACTTTCATGGGAAGGACTGATGCTGAAGCTGAAGCTCCAGTCCTTTGGCCACCTGATATGAAAAGCCAACTCATTGGAAAAGACACTGATGCTGGGAAAGATTGAGAGTAGAAGAATAGGGGATAAGATGGTTAGATGGCATCACTGACTCACTGGACATGAGTCTGAACAAACTCTGGGAGATAATGAAGGACAGAGAACCTGGTGTGCTGCAGTCCATGTGGTTGTGGGGAATCAGACACAACAAGGGTAGGGAGGGTGTATTGTTCAGACATGCGCAGTGGCTTTGGTGGTCTAGTTCCTGAGATGTCCAGAGTTGCAGCTTCTTGATTGATTGCTATGCTTCATAACCTGTATATTACATGTAATATCTACATGTACAGCAATATAACATAGAAATCATTTGTATGACCTAAACAATTTGATCTGAACATACTAATGTTACATGTCTATCAGATACTATACACATGAACACACCTACATCTTTCTCGCACTTACGTATATCGGCATAGACAAAGAGAAGCAAAATTGAGAGATCTATGACATCTGTATTGAATTGTAAAGAGTTCACAGAACACTAGCCTTCAAGCTATGCTTACAAAAAAATCAATGCTAAGTGTGTGTTTCTCGACTCTTCACTGGGTTGTCTTGCCAGATAGTGATACTATTTTTCAAGCAGCAGGCTTCTGTGACACATTTCCCAGGTCAGTAGCACAGATTGTAAAGTTTGCCGTGCTAACCTCGTTCACGTGTACTGTGACTTTCTTTTTATGATTCAGGAAGTACATGTTCATTATCGTACTTTGAATTTATTTGCATGCTGATCTCTAATAATATTTAGTTGCATGTCTTCTGAAAGTTCCACAGCTTTATTTTTAGTCCGTGTTTAGTCCATTCGGTTACAAATTACACTGTGATTTGACAGGACTCCCAGAATAGTTTTGCACATTTTTCCACGTGAAACACTGAAAGCCTTGGGCCGCTTCTAATCATCAAAAATAAAAGAGCTAAAAAGGTCTCATTCTGTATTCTCTGAGTTGGCTTTGAGTGTTTTCAGCATATTGTTACCTCTTGTCAGTGAGAGTGACTTCATTTGGGAATCAGTTGCTACTAGTTTTTTAAAATTGAATAGGCTTTATTTTTAAAGGCAGTTTTAGTTTTGTAGCAAAATGGAGCATAAAGTACAGGGGTTTCCTATTTAGCCCCTGCCCCTACACATGTATAACCTTCCCATTATCTATACCTTTCACCAGAGTGGAACATTTATTACAGTTGATGAACCAATATTGATATGTTCTTATTAACTAAGGTCCATAGTTTACATTAGTCTCCACTCTTATGTTGTACATTTGATGGATTTGAACACATGCACCATGACATATATCTGTCATTATAGCGTCATACAGAGTAGGTTCACTGCAGTAAGAATGCTCTGTGTGCCATATATTCATCTCTCCCTCCCCTTCCTAAACCCCTGGCAACCAGTGATGCTTTTACTGTCTCCATAGTTTTGTGTTTTCCAGAATGTCTTACAGCCAGAATCCTATAGTATGTAGTAGCCCTTTCAGGTTGGTTTCTTTCATTTCATCATATGCATTTAGGCTTCTTGCATGTCTTTCATAGCTTGATAGATCATTTCTTTTTAGCAGTGAGTATTATTCCATTGTCCAGATGGACCACAATTTATTTCTCTGTTTGCCTACCAAGGGCATCTGGGTTGCTTCCAAGTTTGGGCAATTATGAATAAAGCTTCTATAATCATTTGTGTGCAATTTTTGTTTGGACCTGAGTTTCCAGCTCCTTTGGATAAATACCAAGGAGCATGATTGCTGGATCATATGGCAAGAATGTGTTTAGTTTTGTAAGAACCTGACAAACTGTCTTCTAAAGTGACTGTACCATGTTGCATTCCCTCCAGCAATGAATGAAAATTAACGTTGCTTCATATCCTCACCAGCATCCAGAGTTGTCAGTATTCTGGATTTTGGCCATTGTAACAGGTGTGTGTGTGCTCAGTGGCTCAGTCATGGCTGACTCTTTGCAACCCCATGGAGTGTAGCCCACCAGGCTCCTCTGTCCATTGGATTCTCCAGGCAAGAGTATTGGAGTGGGTGGCCATGCCTGCCTCCAAGAGATCGTCCTGACCCAGGGATCAAACACGCATCTCCTGCATTGGCAGACAGATTCTTTACCACTAGCGCCACCTGGGAAACCCAGAATAGTTTTGCAGTGGTTATGTCATTGTTTAAATTTGCATTTCTCTGTTGATGGATAGGGAGGCCTGGCATGCTGCGGTTCATGGGGTCACAGAGTTGGACACGACTGAGTGACTGAACTGATACTGATGATATATGATGTGGAGCATCTTTTCATATGCTTATTTGCCATTTGTATATCTTCTTTGGTAGGGTATCTGTTAAGTTCTTTGGTCCATTTTTTAATACAGTTGTTCCTTATTGTTGAGTTTTGAAAGTTCTGTTTATATTTTGGATACCAGTCCTTTATCACATGTGTCTTTTGCAGATATCTTATCCCAGTCTGTGGCTTGTCTTTTCATTAAAGTCTGTCATATCAATTATTTCTTTTATGGATTATGTCTTTGGTATTATATCTAAAATATCATTACCAGACCCAAGGTCATCTAGGTTTTTTCCTGTGTTATCTTCTAGGAGCATTATAGTTTTGCATCATACTTTACATATGTGATTCATCTCAACTTAAGTTTTGTGAAATGTATATGTATGTCTGTGTTTAGATTCATTTTTTTATGTGTGGATGTCCAGTTGGTTCAGTCTGATCAGTCTCATCATGTCTATCATTGTTTTCATAAATTTCCTGTGTTCAAACCAACAATCCATTTATAATTTTAGTAACAATTATTACCTAACTTGAAAAGAAAATAGTATTTTTCAACATAAAAGTTAAAGAAAAATCACCAAGGCTTAAAAGAATCATGAAATTTATACTGTATCTTACTGTGGTGTGTTAGGCATTCAGTTGATTTTGCACTGTGAGAAGTGCAGGCACTGAGAAGCTGTCCCTGCACTTGCTGCTGCTGAATTGGTGGTTTCCAGTTGAGAATATAATACTTGAATCCTTGTTATTTAAAAAAATAATCTATTTAAAATGCAATTCTAATTAAATGTAGAACCTCTTAATCACCTCTGGGGGATATGACTTTCTGGTGGCTCAGCTGGTAAAGAATCTGCCTGCAGTGTGGGAGACCTGGGTTCAATCCCTTATTCAGGAAGATCCCCTGGAGGAGGGCATGACAACCCACTCTGTTATTGCCTGTCCAGAATCCCTGGACAGAGGAGGCTGGCAGGTTACAGTCCATGGGGTCACAAAGAGTTGGACACGACTAAGCGACTAAGCACACACAGCCCAGAAAAGTTTACTAATGGAGGATTTGACATATAGAACAGGACTCTGTGCACAATAGGTGTTCCATAAGTATTTGCTATTATATATAAGCAGTTTAGTAAATATTTATGTCTGAAATATCTTAGATATTTTCATAAACAATTCATTAAATATCTTACATATAAAATATATTTACTATTTCATATTTACGTATTGTCCTCAAAACATATCAATAGAAAGTATAAAGCTAGTAAGACTGTTTCTTGGTGCCGGATACTAAATTAACCTTTTTCTTATTCACAGGCTAAAAGGCCAGATTCCTGAAATTAAGCAGACTTTAGAAATTCTAAAATATATGCAGAAGAAAAAAGTAAGTGTCTTTTTTGTTTATAAACATGAGCAAACCAGGATAGTTCAGCAGAGACACGTGTTCCTTGACTCCTTGGTCACTGGTATTTGAACCCATGCTAGAAGATCCAGTCTGCCTTTCTGAGCACATGTAGTGATATCACAGACGGTGTGCTTCTGTGAAACGTGTGGCTTTACACCGAAGTCAGATTTAATTCTAGGGCCCACACTACTTGGGGTCTTTTACTTATATGTAGTATTCGTGAAGCTTAAATGCAACTTGAAATTATTTTAAATGCAAAAAGAAATGAATAGTCTTTATTGTTTGTGGCTCTCAGTTCACAGTTGAGGAAATATTTACAAAGAGGGTACACTTGACCAGTGTCACATAGCTAGTTACTGGCAGAACTGGATTTGAGAATCTTCTGAGTTCTCACCCATTTTTTTGTTAAATAAAAGCAGGGTATAAAAATGAAGTTTCAGAAAATATTTAACATATTATATGTATGTATATATACATGATTTATTACTTGACTGGCAGAGTAGCTACATTTCGAGACCGTTTTTTTATGTCACAAACTTTATAAGAGACTTCAGAAGACTGGTTGGTTGAGCATGAAGTGCTGATGAAGTGATAATAATAGATCATGCTTGTCCAGTGCTTACTCTGTGCCAGGCACTGAAGTGTGTGTGTTTGGTTCATACAAGTGCTGCTTGCCACAGCCTTCAGGGGTGCATTAAGTTGCTGAGTCAGGATGCATGTGCTCCCTGCTCAGTCCTGTGGCCCCTGTGGTCCTTTCTTTACCCTTCTCCTTTACCTCTCTGTCCCTCGGGTCCTCCACCTGATTTGTCTGTGGGGTGGGACTGCTTTAAATGGCTTAAGCTCAGCTCTGCAATCGCCTGTATGACCTTGGTATTAAGATGGACAGTTTACAGTACCGTCATGTATTTATTTTTTTTTTTTGAAGGAATCCACCAGTTCACTGGAGACCAGGTTCTTATTGGCAGATAACCTGTATTGCAAAGCTTCAGTTCCTCCTACCGATAAAGTGTGTCTGTGGTTGGGGGTAAGTCAATGTCATTGCCACAGCTTCCTTGGCTGACATTTGGTAAGGCAGTGTGTTTTCCCCAGCATGGCAGTATTGAAGAGGAGCACTTGACCGTGGACAGAATGAAGGGGTAGCATCGCAGGGGACTAAGAGTATGAGAAAGTTTGCCACAGAAATGTGCTTGAGTCTCTTCCGGTCAAAACAAAATGGACCAAAATGCAGCTTTCCCTCCAGCTAGCACTTTATCTGTTAAATGTAACAGAAGTTATTGTCAAACCTCAGATAGATGTTTGTTCATCATCAGAGTTTATGAGTTCTAGAAAGATATCTCTGAACTTAAGGGGGGAAAGATTATTATAAAAATCTTGCATTTAGAACCCATTTGAAAGTCATACATTTCAGTTGTGATGATTTGAGAGACCTTGTCTGTGATTTTTTCCTGTTACTACTCTTGAGTCCCATGATCAACCAAGTCATGCCTGACCACACAGGTAGGTCTTGCTAACTCAGGCAAGTTCCTATGCAAAGTTGCAAATTGGGAGGATTTCCACTCGCTGTTATCCTGTACAGTCATCCCTGAGAAGCACTCTGGGGCCGTGAAAGGTTGGCAGATTCATACATGGAAACTCACTTCTCTATCTGTTAGTTCCTCCTTCCTGATTTCTGTTAGCTATAACATTTCAGAGTTTATGCATTTATTTCTACAAACATAATTCCCATTCTTGTTTAGTTTTAGTTTTATAAATGGAACAGCTAGCCACTCAGTAGCTCAGATCTTAGGGGTTATCCTCTTTGGTTTCTTTTCTCCTTGGCCCACACTTAATCAGCACGTGGGGATAAGATGATTCCATAAAGTAGACTGGGACAACAGGGAGCACTCTTCCTGAGAATTATGGCTGGAGCCCACCTTATATGAGATGGATTCCAAATGGATCACGTAATGACGTGAACTCGTGACACCATCAAAGTTCTAGACCAAGTCACAGATAATTGTAGCCCTGTAATAAGGATGGTTTTTCAGACCACAAAACTCGGAAATCATGAGCAAAGTAAAAAGACAACAAGAAAAAATACATGTGACTCATATTGCACGGAAAGCACTAACATGTCTGCAGGACGACTTGGAGGTTGTCTTTTGGGCATGTCAGTCTTCAGATGCCTGTTAGACTGTCAAGTAGAGAGGCTGATAAGGCAGTGTTTGAGGAGTGAACCAACTAAGGAGATATACTTGAATGAATGATTGATGGTTTTTGACAGGAATGAAGTATTTTAAAATGTATTCTATTTCCTCTTGTTACAGGTAAGCAAAGTGTGGACATTTTCTGGGGGGAAAAAGTGCTAATAAGTATCAGTAATTGAGAAGTGAGATTGGGAGTCTGTGTTTGGAGAAGCATTTACTTTGCACTGAATATTTTAGTCCAGTCTGAATTTTTATGCAGCTTTCTAATTCTCACAAGGGCTTCCCTTGTGGCTCAGCTGGTAAAGAATCCGCCTGCAATGCGGGAGACCTGGGTGTGATCCCTGGGTCAGGAAGATCCCCTAGAGAAGGGAAAGGCTACCCACTCCAGTATTCTGGCCTGGAGAAATCCATGTCCATGGCATTGCAAAGAGTCGGACATGACTGAGCGGCTTTCATTCACTCACTTCCAATTATCATGGACTGGCATATTCAGTCAATAAGTATGTAGCGTCTGCTTGGTGCTAAGTCCTTTCATGTTGCCTCATTAATTCTTAAAACAATCCTTTGAGTAATTTTTAAATTCCATTTGTCATGTGAGGAAAGTGGTTCTGGAAATGCCTGGTGGTAAGTCAGGTGATAGTTCAGAGTTGTGAAAGGTACGGCTCCCCATTACAGAGTGCATGCCTTCCCAAGTGTCAGCAGTTACTCCAGATCTTAGATCCAGAGCTAGTCACCTTGCCTTCACCTCTGGCATCTGTTGGAGTTTGGAAGGGGACAGTTAAAGCTAGCTGTTTTCTCTTAATGGACCAAATGCAGATAATACATATGTCTTTGAAAGCTTTAAAGTTCTACCTTAAGCTCAGAAACAACTACTTCAGTTGATTCAAATGTATTACTATTTAGTGTCCCGATAGAGGTGGTAGAAAGATAGGGTTTGATAACTAAAGATACTGGTTCCTATCCTAATCTTCGATTTATTTAGTATCTTTGAAATCATAGGTAAGCTGACTTCTCAGAGCCTATTTTCTTCACTGTAGAGAAGTTGAGGATGAAATGATATAATGTATGTAAATATATTCTGTAACTCGGGGCAATAAATATTGTGTGAAAAGCCAGAGAGTAAATATTTTTGGTGTTGCAGACCACATGGTCTCTGCCACAACTAGTACTTGGCTCACCACTGCGGAATGTAAGTCTTAAGTGAATAAAGAGTTGCTGTGTTTCCAAAAAACTTGAGACAAGAGACGGTTGGCCAGATTTGACCCAAAGGCTGTAGTTTGCCAACCACTGCTCTAACCTACAGAGCACAAAGTCAGTGTTTGCTCATTGTCACGCTTTTCTCTCTGCAGGCGAACGTAATGCTTGAATATGATATTGATGAAGCTCAGGCGTTGTTGGAAAAGAATTTATTGACGGCCACAAAGAATCTTGATTCTCTTGAGGAAGACCTCGACTTCCTTCGAGATCAGTTTACTACCACGGAAGTCAGTATCCTTTCCTAATGAAAGGCAAAGAGGGGACAGGAGAAAAATGTTTTTTATGTTCTTATGTGCATTGCTTTAATGAGAAGAATGTCCTTATTCTTAGACTAATGTTAAGTTGCAGATTTTATAAGAGTAGTAAATGACATATTTTAGAACTAGTGCTGAAATAAGTTTATAGATTGATCTGAATTTGAGGTGTGAAAGTGTGGAAATAGCAAATTCAATTTAGTACATGCGTATTTCTATTTCAGATATTTTCTCAAGATAATCTTTATAGCTAGATAAGTACTAGAGTTCCACAACTCTTTATTAAGGGTCTCTTGTGTTCCTACAACTGTGCTAAGCTATGTGGGGCATGCGCTGGTGAGATCAGTGTAAAAAGAGAATGACAAAGCACATGTGAGACAGCTAATGATCATTTCATAGCAAAATAGAAGTCAATTTCAGGTAGTCAACACCAAGGCAATTTAAAATTAGAGTGATAGATGTGAGCTAGTGTGAGTTCAGAACAGTCTTTGAGAAGATAGGCCTGAGACTGTAGTTAAAGGTAGTGTAGGATTTCTTTTAGCAGAGAAAAAGGAAAGGCTCTCATGTTGAAACCCAGCTCTTGGCGTTTTCCCTCTGACCTGTGTCTCCTAATTGTCAGAATCATTGGCCCCACACAGTCATTCAAAACAGAAACCTGGGAGTCAATCTTCTTACCTCTCTGTTACACTCATTTTGGCCTTTAATAACCGAGGGTCAGTAGTTTTCTTATTTATTTAATTGGAGGTTAATTATTTTACAATAGTGTGGTTTTTGCCATACATTCACATGAATCAGTCATGGGTTTACATGTGTTCCCCATCCTGCCCCTCCCTCCCCATCCCATCTCTCAGGGTCATCCCAGTGCACCAGCCCTGAGCACCCTGCTTCATGCATCAAACCTGGGCTGGCGATCTGTTTCAAATATAATATACATGATTCAGTGCTATTCTCTCAAGTTATCCCACCCTCGCCTTCTCCCACAGAGTCCAAAAGTCTATTCTTTACATCTGTGTCTCTTTTGCTAGGGTCATCGTTACCATCTTTCTAAATTCCATATATATGCATTAATATACTGTATTGGTATTTTTCTGACTTACTTCAGTCTGTACAATAGGCTCCAGTTTCATCTACCTCATTAGAACTGATTCAAATGAATTCTTTTTAATAGCTGAGTAATACTCCATTGTGTATATATACCACAGCTTTCTTATCCATTCATCTAAGGATGGACATCTAGGTTGCTTCCATGCCCTGGCTATTGTAAAATGGTGCTGTGATGAACATTGAGGTACATGTGTCTCTTTAATTCTGGTTTCCTCAGTGTGTATGCCCAGCAGTGGGATTGCTGGGTCGTATGGCAGTTTTCTACTCTGTTTCCCCCACCCCAGTCCTTCACACTCTCTCTGCTGTGAATTCACTGAGCTATTTTTATTCCTCTGGCTATAATGCCTCAGTGGTTCTTTGTTACATGTCAGCTATGCACATGGGCACTCTGGGGGGTGGTCCCTGCCAGTCTCGATTCCATGTGCCACTGACTGATTTCCTGCCCTGCTCCTCCCCTGGTGCGCCCAAGGTCCAGATCACCCCAGGTGGTTTTCCTCACCCCCTAAATAGGGCGTGCCCTTTGTATATCCACACTTGGTTCCTTCTACCTAGACTGATTTCCCCCTATTTGCTTGGGTTCCTCCATCTTACCTTTCGTCTTTCAGCTCAAGCAGCAGAACATTTCTGAACATTTTCTAGTCCTCTCAGGGTGTTGTGTTGCTCCTCTGTGATTCCTGAGCACTTTGCACATAGTACTTAAAATTTGTTTTTCATGCTAGACTGGGAGCTCTTCAAGTATAGGAGCTCCACGTTTTCTCTCCTCCATAGCATGTAGCGCATGACAGGTTTTAAGGGGTCGGGTGAAGGTCTGTCTGAGGCCTAGAACAGGGGTTAGCACATGACTGGTAATGTGGAGACTTCATTCAGAGGTAAAAAAAGATAAAATACCTAGAAGATAATATTGTACCTTCAGGACACACCAACGAAGGCATGAGCCGGGAAAGTGAGCACCAATAGGTGAAGGCCTACGCAGGGTGGAACTTGTGGAAAGGAAAAGATATAGATGCTGAATAGATTGCATAAATTAAGCCAAACAGGGTGAGAGAGAAAATTAGTGATGATTAAATTATAATAATTTAAACATTGCATGTCAGGGTATACTTTGAACCACCTTCAAAATACTGTGGATGAGGGTCTCTCTTGAAAACTGTTGGGAGAGTGTCAAGCACACATGTGTCAAATACTATAGTTGACCTAGCTATGCTAAACAATCATTGATTTGAGGTCTTGACTACGTTTTGGTGGAATTTTGTTTCAGGCTTTCCTTGGCAGACATACTACACCTTGCTGTAGCCACTAGTATTTTGTGTGTGTGATTTCTGTCTTTCATTCAGTGTGTGATTGCACGTTATCTTTCGAATTGCTTTGGCATTTTCTTTGACAATTCTTGCAGATATGGCCAGAGTTTATAATTGGGATGTTAAGAGAAGAAACAAAGATGATTCTACCAAGAACAAAGCATAAAGATGGCAGTTAAAAATGTGGTTCAGTTTTCCAAACATGTTTATGCTTAAAAGTTGGCATAACTTTAAGTGATTTTTAACAGCAAGAATAATTAAAACTTTAAAAACAGATAAGCACCACTTTATTTATTTATAAAAACAAAATTAGTTGCAAATATTTTATGAAACTTACAGTGTTGTTATTTTATTTTTTGCATTTCCAACAAAGTAAATGCTGCTTTCATCATTTTTGTTTGTTTGTTTGTTTGTTTTTCATAAGGAAAGTCTTGGCCAAAATGGCTAGAAACTGTGAGATATATTATAGAAGCTGATTTCTGGACAGTTCAGCACAGTTTACTTTTTCTGTATTGGCTGGTGTTAACTCTCACTTGTGATATGGTTAAACCAGTTTAGAGGTAGAAAAAACAGTTGAAATATTTGAAAATTTGTTTTTCTTTAGTACACGTAGGGCTTTATGGTCCTCTGTTGTTGTTGTTTGTCCTTTGTAAATGGAGTTTCATGAATTACTGCTTAGTTAATAAGTATGTAATATTCTGTACTTTTAAGGAAATGGCAATTTGCATTCCTAAATAGTAAGAGGGCTATTGAGAGGATACGTTTTCTAACCCAATAAAAGTACACAGAGCCTTTGCAATGCCAACATAAAGGAGATCTTGGCCAACATGAAATAACAAAATTACATACTGAAAACTCTTGCCTGAGGTGATTTTGTACTTTTTGACAGTTCTCCAAAGCAGCAAGACAGGAATATTAAGATAAATATAAATCTGCAGTGGTTTAAAAGAGTTGGGAGATTTTTTATTCATGGTAAAACTTCGTAAGAGTGGTAGAAAATCCCTGTGGAAAGCCATTGGTACAGTGGCTAGTGCTGGGTGATACAGAGTTCTGGTAAAAACACAAATGTATCATTCCATATCCCTGTAGCAAAGAGTATACTTGTACAGTGTTTTGTACTTGTATTTCATGATATTAAAGTAGTGAAGTTAACAATTGTAGCCCAGCACCTTTATCATGTTATTCTTTCTAATTAACATGGGTCTTTTGTAAAGTTTATTTACTTGCATGTATAACTGGCCATGTCCAGAACTTTTTATGTTTGTAGAAATAACATAAAATCCCTTTGGAAGGAATATAGATAAGCAAGCAATTCAGAAGTTAAATCTGAGGGATACCAAAGTTTCCTCTCAGGGTTTCTTTCATAAGTTTAAATTCCCGTATTTTAGAATTTGAGCTTTGTAAACATCTTAATATATTTTTAAGTGTTACTTTTTCCCCAGACCTTATTATGGTAAGTATATTGGTATGAAGTGTTCCTGTTAACAGGAATGACTTGGTCAGAAGATCTTCCTTTTGTCTTCCTTTAAGTCCCTGAAAAGCTAAATAGGAATTTTAGGTTTTCTAAGCACAACAAATATTACCTAAGTATGCAGTATGTGTCAGAAAGAGTATTAGGCTCTGATAATTAAATAAAAGATATTTAAATCTTGCGTCTGCCAGATTATTTCTCTTGTAACAGTTTACATTTTCAGAATAACATAATCATCCTGATTTGACATGACTTTTTCAAGCCTAATATTAGTATAGTATACCTGAAAGGATAATGAGCACAAGATTGACTATAAAATTGTGATTTTGAGTAACAAATGCATTGAAAATGCAACTGAAATCAATGTTGCCATTGTAAAACATGTTCACTTGAGAATGTTTAGAAAATAGGAGGAAAAAAGACATTTCAGTTCCACTTGCAGCTGCCCCTTAATGATTCTGTGGCTTCCATTTCTTTTCCTATGCATAGGTCTTTTAAAAAACATTATTTAAATAATTTTGTCTGTGTAATTTTTATCGTACTTTCTTAACATGGAATTTTCAATCTGCCTATTATATAATGCTTTTAAATTAGCATTATTTTACTGTTTTAACAGTATTCTAAATAGCTGGACCCTAGTAAACTGTGACCTATAGACATTTGATGTTTTAAAATTTTTTTGTGTGAAGTAAATAAGTCAGCACTTTACATTTTTACAGAAGGATTTTTCCTGTATTTAGGATTTTTCCTGAGATTAGATTACCAGAATAGAATTACAGAGTCAAAGATTATAGCATTTTATTTTCTGGGGTTAACTGAGAGGAGTTTGCTCAGGGGATGATGGGAATCAACAAGGGATTCAGATGAACATAGGAACTTGAAACAAAAATAAATGTCCAAAAAAAAAAAAAGTCTGACACACTAACTATAGATACTGACAGCCACAACCACATAGTCCGAGTGAAACCAAAGTCTGGTTCCCGGGTGAATTTCCTTCCCTCTGTACCCATGGCACATACCAAGTAATTCATTAAGTTCAATTCCTTAATGAATGAACACTCTCTGTTCTTTTATGTTTGCTATTCTCAGCCCTATACTTCACAATATCTTTAAGGGTCTTGAATCATTTCTTAAAGGTTCATCTTGGTTGGTCCTGATCCCCTATGGAGCCATGTCTGTTGTCTGTTTAGTGCTAAATGTGGGGTTGTATTGTCTCTGAAGACTACCAAGAGCACAGGCAACACTCATCATAGTTAGCGTTGGGTTTAACGACACATTTGAACTCCCAAGACCTGGGTAGGCCATGCCTGAATACCAGTTTACTCTGAAGAATACAGGACAAGCAAGACCCCATGGACGCCATGCCACGGGTCAGCTTGATGCATCATTCTTTGGAGGAAATTCTTGCAGTGGTCCCCACAGATGACACAGATGGGTGCAGTTGCTTCTGGGCTTAGAAGCCATCCCGTAACAGCCCCCTGTACACAGCCTGGGTCCCAGCTAGGGTCAAGGCCCGGGAACAAGAGGTCCACTGCACTCAGGGACCCTGAGCTGTGGCCCCCAGCAGATGTTTACATTCAGTCGTAGCCCTCCCAGGCCAGGAGTGGGGTACCACCCATGACTTTCTACTGGAAGCAGGCCCAGTGGTCCCACAGAGGACCATACATCTTCATCACGTTTCCAGGACAACCAAACTAGAAAGCTGTTCCAAGGTGAGTGCCTCGCCTTGAGGGAGAAAGGGTTTTTCAACACGTCTCACCTGACCTGTTGGATCTTGCATGATCATGGTCAGTTTTTGTCAGTGGGATACTTCCTTTTCTAGTCCCTTTCATAAGGCTGCTTAGCTAGTATCTGCCTCTGCAAAAAAAAACAATAATCGTTAAGATATTTTAAAGAGCTAGATGGAATCATTTCTGTCTAGGTGAGGCAAAACTCAGGAATCTGCTGAGAGGTCGTTTGACAATGACATGATGGAGAGCTGTTTTCTCCATAACCCAAAGCTAGGTGTTGCCATAAATTTAGTGAACTTCAGGAGCTCGTAGCAGAGTGACTTTTTAGTCTTGTGGCCAAAACTAGTCAATAAACATATATATAAATTGTATATATATAAATATGTATGTATGTAAATTGTATATATTTAATATATTAAGCTAACATAAACATGCCAAAATTATATATTAGTAGCTAATAGGCTAATATAATGATAAACTAATATTAATATAATATGTAATATATTACTAAGTTGATATAATGTTAAGCTGAATCTCCAATAGATTAGCCACCTGATGTGAAGAGCCGACTCCTTGTTAAAGTCCATGATGCTGGGAAAAATTGTGTGGATAGTGCTTCAAAGTTCATATAAAGAATTCACTTTTATTTGTGTCTCTTTCCTATCTCGTGTGCACAGTGTATCTGAGCAGTTTGTGTATAAAGGATCATGCCTCCTAGCCATGGCTTACGTTCAGTAGGTTGTGTAACAACTTGTCTTTGGGGCTGTGAGTTTTTTCCTGGTTCTATTAGCACCCCCAAGTAAACCCATCTTAGGCTGAATCAGCTTATTTTCTCCAGCTCAAAGCTGTCGATTCTAGAGAGTAAAATACACAAAAACTTTAAAAAGCTAAAGGTCAGGAGATAATGATCTCTTCCTTTTCGTCAACACCTCCATCTTTGGCTAGTTAGGTGTGTTTGGAGTGGCTTGGGCAATAGTTTATTCTCAGTCTGGTGGTCCAGAGGCAGCTTAAGAGTTACATTTTAACTGACCCAGGATATTTAATTTTCAACTCCACGATGACTGTTGCTTCCAATACCACGGCAAAGTGACAATATTAGCTTTTCAGGTTCAACTTGGTGTAACCCTGAAACATCGACTCCAGAGTTCAGTTACAAGTGGGCTGTAGTAGCCCTTGTTTTCCATTGGTCCTCAGCTACGCAAGTGATGACCAGGGTCTAGGGCTGACCTTGGCTTTATGGATAGAATCTGCACAGTTCAGATGATATAAAGAAGGTCCTGGAAAAACAAGGATTGGTCCAAGATAAGATAATCCTGGAAGACCCCATCCTTGACTCACCTCCTATCCTATACATATTCAGGTGGTCACATCACGAACTGCTGAAAGTTGATGGGGCCCAACATACTTCTGGGAGAAATCCAGATAACTAGTGACCGTAGGGAGAATTGTTCACCCATAGGAATGACCAAGGGAAATGACATTTTAAAAGCAGATAATAACAAAGTTTATTTGAGTTTTAAAAAGGGCAGGAGTATGGTGAGAGTGCTTTTGTGTAGCTCAAACATTTCATGTATGACTCTGCATATATCATAAGGAAAAATGATTCAGGTAGCTGAATAATGGCAAATATATACCAATATTTAATATTAAGCTTAGAAGTGGTGCGGTATACTGAGCACTGGGTATGGAATTCAGTATTCATATTGTAAACATTATCTAGCATGACTTTTGTTAACCCACCTGTTTCTGCTTTTCTCCCACCCCCAAAAAATATTTGCATGGAGTTGTCATTAATACGAATGAAGTTTTTCAGAGTAACATATTTTTTAAAAAAATGTTTTGAACACTTCAAGTGAGATAGCGATGGGAGGTTTTGGAGAATCAATTTTGTGTCTTGCAGAATTTAATGGAATGCAAACACTAGGCGACTTGGGAATAGGGGATTTGGATGAAAATAGAAACTTGAAACAAAAATATCAAACACACTAACTTCCGTTGCCTTCCTCAATAGAGGTTGCAGGCTTGTCTGTTGTTAAGGTAAGGACGATGTTTCTCCTGTTTGATCTCCTTCCCTGGGGTGTCTTGTCTCCTCATCTCTCAGCCGCAGTCACAGCTGAGACCTTGTCAATCCCTGCAGCGCTTTCTTAATCTCCACCTCAAGCCATTCTGTTCCCTTCCAGGTTTTCACTGTCCCTCACATCTTGACTTCTTTCATGGTCTGTCTTGTTCAGGTCCTTGCACACACCACAAATGCTTTGGTCCCATTCCTGCTTTGCCGCCCTGACCTGGATAAGCCAGTGTCTTGTTTAATTGGACAGCCAATTCCCAGCACTTTAAAGTAAGGGGTGCAAGGCTCCACCATCCGTAGGTCAGCCGTTCAGACCTCCACGCCCCCATTCTTGCTCCCAGCTGTCAATATCTGTCAGCCTTGGCTGTCGTTCTGTCACTCAAAAAAGTTAGAATAGCATTGAAGCATGTATATTACCATATGTGAAATAGATCGCCCGTCCAGTTTAGATGTATGAAACAGGGCACTCAAAACTGGTGCTCTGGGATGACCCAAGGGATGGGTTGGGATGGGAGGTGGGAGGGGGGTTCAGGATGGGGAACACATGTACACCCGTGGCTGATTCATGTCAATGTATGGCCAAAACCACTCCAATATTGTAAAGTAATTAGCCTCCAATTAAAGAAATTTACCAAAAAAAAAAGAAACCACACCCCCAAAAAAGCTTTTGTTCTTTATGTCTCTTTGGCTATAAAGAACAGAAGCTTTTTTTGTGGGTGTGGTTTCTCTTTAACTTGTTTATTGTAAAGTAATTAGCCTCCAATGAAAATAAATAAATTAATTTACAAAAAGAAAAAAAAAGTAAAAGAGAAACCACATCCCCCATAAAAGCTTCTGTTCTTTACATCTGTATCTCTTTGGCTGCAAAGAACAGAAGCTTTTTTTTGTGCTGTGGTTTCTCTGTAACTTTTTTTTATTGTAAAGTAATTAGCCTCCAATTAAAATAAATAATTTTTTTAAAAAGAGCTTCTACAAGAGGCCCCTTGCTGAGGGTGGCCCCCAGCCTATGACTGCCTCCCTCCACAGTTGTCTCACCCAACTCAGTTCTGCCTACTGTCAGTCTCTGGCCACCCCACCCTCGCCAAGACATGTGGACCATCATAGGCATTCTGGGCGGTATGTGAAGCATCTTGAATGTGCCCAGGGGCAGCATCTGCTCAGCCAGGTTCTGGCCTGGGTAGTGCACACATTCTGTCCCCAGTGCCAGTGACCAAACCTGTTTGTCCCCTCATCCTTGTTGCTCTTGGCCTCTGATGGCCTAGAAGTGAAGTGAAGTCGCTCAGTCATGTCCAACTCTTTGCAACCCTGTGAACTGTAGCCCCCCCAGGCTCCTCCATCCATGGGATTCTTCAGGCAAGAATCCTGGAGGTGGTGGCCATTTCC